AACCTTATGATTACAGAGCTGTTTTATTCACATATTTTTAATAAGAACAGAGGTTTTCTTCATACAAGCAGTCTCAGGTGGATACACTTCTCTGTTTTTAGATACAGATGAACTAAAAATGGCTTTACGGGCCCGAAAAGTTTCCGGGGCTTTCGTGAAACGGGCGCTAGGGCTCGAACCGGGACTGCTTGATCCGGAGACGAGCGTACTAACCATGAGGCGACTGCGCCTCTCACATGTAACGCGTAACACTTGTGAAAATTAATTAGTGTTACTGCTGCTTTCATTGTTTTTGTATTTGGGTTTAAGGTGCTTTAGTAGAAATTTCCAACCGTCAGTCTGCCACGTGCTCGTTCAAGAAATTGTTTACTCTGTACGATTGATCAAATTCGATATGATGGTGTTGTTCCCCCAGGGCTCTTTTGCCAAAATGTGAAAATATCTCCCCGCAATTTCCTAAGAGACCAATGAGAAGAGGGAAGTTGGTAAAAGGTCGCTTCGCCTGATAGCAGTTCGCTCGAACTGAAAGTTCAAAAAAGGATGTGTTAAATTCTTTCTTTTAACTGAACGAGTGAAAAAGACAACATTGTGGGCATTACGAAATTAATCCACTGACCACGAGACTCACAGTCCGGGCGAACTGGCATCGGGCAAACTCGCTTTCGGACGAAACGAGCACAATTCGGGAAGATAAACTGCCAAAAACAAGCCGTGATTCTCGGGAAACTTTCGGGAACCCGAGACGACGAGTGTCCCAATTTTTTATGGCGAAATTGCGAGATGGCCGTTCGTGTTTGAAACACGATGAACAGAACAGTATGTTTTGTGACTGATGTGTCCTGTTCGCGAGTGAAAACTTATCCGGGCAGTTGCATTTGGAGAGTTACTCGCCCGAATGGGTAATACTCTGTAAATCCAGTTTCAAACGCTAGATTAGGAAGAGCGTCCCTTACTGCGGTTCATCACTAACTGATAACTATTTCGTTAATCTCAGATTTGTTTACAAGTTTGTGTGCGACCTGAAAAACCTGCTGGGTTATAGTGCAGGGGAACTGAGCAGACTCGTTCTGGAGGCCGAGGAGGCAGCTGCCGACGCGGAGCCTGGGACGAATGGGGGACATTAATGTATTTAAAAATATATTATATATTTACCAGAATGATGTATGCAGTGCATTTGTAGGTAGCTGTAAATAATTTTTAACTAGTAACGATGGTCTCCAGTGATGGTACAGGTTTATGCGTACACCATGTCTGTATGTGTGGCCATTGTGGGGTTTCTTCACAAGAAGAAGGCTCCACCTGTTGTAATCATTTCTTAGGTTCTAGGTTAGGCTCTGTTACTTTGACTATCACACAACACAGGTCTCTTGGGCGTCACGCAATGATTCATGTGACAATACATACAACTGAATAGCTTCAGACGGACTAGTGTAAGACATGGATACTCATTGTGTTCTACAAGCCTGATTAGTATTGCATGGGACGGACCGTTATTCTTTTTTTGAGGAAGGGGGGGGGGGGGGGGGGGGGAGGGGGGGTACTCCCACATATAGGCTATATAGGTTTGTGTTGACCAAGGGATAGGGTATAGCTTTTGACGTTCTCAATCCTTAAATAGGGTATCATTTTTGCCCCTGTTGACATTCACTGTGTGATCTTTAGATGGGGTACATACCTACCTAAATTGTGTCTGCTTACATTGCAGTGTGTAAATGCCTAGCTAAACAGAAAATAAGTTCTACACTTGATGCTTTTAAACTTCCAGTGTCACAGAAGTGAAATACAGCTGACCCATTTGTGCCATTCATAGTTTTTTC